CGGCTCGCGAATCGGGGCGAGACGTTCGACGTCGTCATGCTCGACCCGCCGTCGACGTCGACGGTCAACGGGAAGCGCTGGTCCGCGCAGCGCGACTACGGCGCCCTCGCGGCGCTCTGCGCGCCCCTCGTGAACCCGGACGGCGGTCTGCTGTGCTGCACCACCAACGCGCGGAAGCTGCGGCCGCGGAAATTCGCGCGCGTCTGCTCCGCGGCGCTCGACGACTTCGCCGCGGACCGCGGCCTCTCGATCGTCCTGGACCGCGTCGTGCCGCCCGCCGTGGACTACCCGGTCCTCGCGGGCCAGAGCCCGGAGGTGAAGAACCTCGTCTTCCGGTTCGAGCGACGTTAAGTCACCCTCCGGTTCGAGCGGCGTTAGAAGGTTCTAGCGCGACGCGGCCTCGGCGGCCGCGGAGACGCGGCCGCCCGACGAGGGCTGGAAAACGCCGGAGCCGCGGAGCTCCTTGGAGGGCGTGAGCGGGGAGACGAGGCCGCGGTAGAGCCACTGGAAGGGGCCGGGGCTGAGGAACTTGTACATGGGGTCCTTCTTCGCCGTCTCCTCGAGCATGGCGATGTGCGTCTCGACGTTGACGATCGTGTTCGCGGCGATGACGCCGGACGCGGCGGCGCTGGGCGTGCCGATGCCCGGGAAGCACGAGTCGCCGCAGCGGAGGAGGCCGTCGACGGGCGTCTTCAGGTTCGGGAAGGGGAAGGGGATGGGCGTGAACTTGAGGAGGCCCGCGTAGGGCGCGGACGTGCCCGCGGCCCAGGCCATGCCGTAGGTGCCGCGGTCGCGGCGGAGGAACGCCTCGTGCGCGAGGGGCGACCCGACGATGTGGAACTCGGCGCGCTGACGCGCGTCCGGGATGCAGTTCTCCAGCGCCTCCCAGAGGATGTTCGCGCGCTCCTCCTTGTAGGCCTCGTAGGCCTCTGACCCGGGCTCGAGCTGCTCCCAGGGCTCGTAGGGCTCGCCGCCCGACGAGTAGACGTGGATGACGTGCTTGCCCTCGGGGCACACGGAGCGGTCCAGGAGCGACGGGATGAAGAAGGAGCAGAGATTCTGCGAGTCCTGCATGGACCGGCTCCAGTCCTGGACGATGAGGTGCGCGGGGTTCTTCGCCGTCTCGTCCTCGGCGGCGCGCCACCTGGGCAGGAAAAGGGTGCGAAATTCCCAACTTCAAAGGCTCCTATCTCGGTCGTTTTCCGCTCGTTTCGGCTGATTTTTGGACGAATCGATTGCTCTCATCGAGTTCTCGAAGCTCAGCCGAAGATTCCGGCGCAATCCGTTCAATTACGCGCACATTGAAGTCGGGTTGAATATTTGATTTCCACACAGCCCGCCACGAGGGGTGGTCCGCGAGCTTCTTCCCGTCGACGACCTTCTCCGCGTCGACGGCGACGAAGAGGTGGAGGATGGCGCCGTGGCGCGGCAGCGTGCCCAGCGTCTGGCGCCACTCCTGGAGCGCGGAAAAGCCCGGCATCTCCGGGTCCAGATCGTCCTGCGCCGGGAGCAGCTTCACCGTGTCGAAGGGCGTCGCGTTGGACACGACGGCCTTGCGCGCGCGGATGACCTTGCCGCTCTTGAGCCGGACGCCGCAGGCCCGGCCGCCCTCGACTAAAATCTCCGCGACGTGCGTGTTCAGGGAGATGTCCATGCCGAACTGCGCGCCGCCCCGGTGCAGCGCCCGCGCGATGTTCTCCGTGCCGCCCTTGGGCACGGAGTAGGAGCAGCCCGGCTCGAAGAAGCGCTCCAAGATGTAGAGCATGTGGGCCGTCATGGCGCCCTTGGCCGGGAAGCCGCAGAAGATGCACATCGTGTCGATGAAGTTCCGGAGGAACGGCTCCGTGACGAGCTGGTCCACGGTCTTGTGGAGCGAGTCGAAGGTGAGGGGCAGGTCCGCGAAGACGTCGGGGTGCGTCGCGACGTAGGGCAGGCTCCCCGCGGTCGTCGCGAGGAAGCCCGGGTCCTGGCGGAGGTTGAACAAGCACACGGCCGTCGTCGACCCGCCGAGCGTCTTCAGCCGCGACCGGAGCGCCTCGAACTCTTTGATGGCCAGCTCGCCGTCGGACGCGTGCTCCCGGAGCGACTCGTAGAAGCCGCCGGGCGCCTC